CCGGTTCCTCTTCTCCTTCGGGTGACCCAGGGCAGAGACACGTCCCGCTCCCGGCCATAAAACCGGTGGCACCGAGGGCTTCCCTGTCTTCACCCGCCCTAAAGTCCATCGCACCATCAAAGGACGGACCGAAACGCTTCCAGGAGCGCCAAAAACTACACAAAAAGGGGCTGAAGGGGTTTTCTGATTTTCTCCAAAACGCCAAGGGAAGCTGCTGGAGACGAACTGAGGTAAAGCGAGCACGTACGTGAAGCTGAGACGGAGAAACGGCAAGGTAAAGTAGGCTTCGTCCTGCAGAGCCAGCTGAAGGCACTGCGCGAGAGGACGGCAGAGAAAGGGAAAGACCGAGACGTGGAGAAGAGGGATGCTGCAGCGCGGAGCGGGGATCTTTGAGCAGAGTCTGGGATCCTCAGAAAGTACAGGACAGATGGTGCTGGACCTGCAGGAGCCGCTCCCTGCTTACAGTACCACAGCCCACATCCTCGGAAGTGAAGGGCTGGTGCCCAAACGCTGCCAGCACTAGAGATGTCGGTGGGACAGGAGCTCTCGAGGTCTTACCTGCTCAAAACAGGGCCATCACCAAGAGTAGGTCGGGATGGCCGTGGCTTCGTTTGAGCTCTGAAAGCCTCCCCAACCTGGGCTTCGCCACCCTCCTGAAGGAGGAGGAGCGGACATTACGCAGGGAAGCCCACAGCTGTGTTCCCAAGTCAAAGGGAGCAGCCCCCCGAGACCAGTGATGCCCGAGTCTTCTCCTCAAAAAGTTTGGATTATTTCTCTCCTTCACACTCACCTTACAGAGAAAGTCCGGAATACTCCAAAGACAGCGTTTGCTGCACTTCTCCCACCCCTTGTCCCTACACTCCTGCAAGGGCACATTCAATTTACACAAGTTTTTAATACTCTCATCTTTGCTGGCCCACTCCTGCTTGTAATGGCAAGACTCCAAATAAAGACAACAGCAACCCCTGAACTAGCAGGACTCGATGTTCACATCGATGACGTACTGGAAGATGAAGACAGGCAGCTCTTGGAGCTCATGAGCGCATACAACACGTGTGCAGGACGTTCCACCACCTTCCCCTTCCCTATTTGCACATCTCCGACAGGCACTTCCCACGTCTGCAGACGGTCTGCACTTCAATTCTCCCTCCACCTTCTGCAAGTATCAGTCCCAGGCACGTAGAAGTTGTGAGTTCCTTCTCCTGACTCAGTTACTAGCTGGATCTCAGCACTCCTGACTGATCTGGTCCGCTCCTCCCACCGCTAAACATATCCTCCCTGCACACCAGGGGTCCTTTCACGTTCAGTGCTCCCTCCTGATCTGCTGAGCCCATCCTCACACTCTTTTCTTGCTCTTCCGGGTTTATTTTCCTCATTTTATGACCACACCTAATTTTCAGGTGATCAGTGTCATTACAAAAGCACCGTTGCCTTCCTGAATGCTCACTGGTTTTAGAGCACAGTCTCACCTCTGGAAGGGCTTCACGCGTGAGAACAGCATTCTTCTGCATTACTGTCTGTCTTTACAGACTTCCAGTGAATTTATTTCAAGGAAAGCATGCAAATAGGCACACAATGGACAGTGGCAGAGCTGCAGTTAAGTTTTTTCACCACAAAATTGCACACTTTGTTTTTTGCAAGCATGAGGAATATTATATATAGAAGTCGGTAATCATGTGCACACAGGATTTAGAGAAAACCAAGAATGTCCCGGTTCTAAGGACACCCAAACAGCCAAGAGGCAGTTCTCCGCCCAAGGCTGATCACTGCTACCCCATCTGCTTTCACCTCCCACCCTCACTGCCTACTCCTTTTCTCCAACCTCCTGTCCCCAAGCCACGCTCAGACACCACCGCCTGTGCTCCGTGCCACACGCCTCCTTGCCTTTATCACCCGCCAGCAACCTACGAACACCCAAGAGGGAAGGAAAACCTTTGGGAAAAAGCTGTTTTAGGGACACTGCTACAGTACCTATTTTCTGAACCGCGTTTCTGAGCAGAGTTCTTGAAGCGTAGGTCCACTGGCTCGCTCCTGGAACAACAGATGCTCTCCAAAGTTGTCACCACCTCATTCTCCTTCATCTTTTGCCACGCTTGCTTCACCATCCGCTTTCAATACCAGATGATTGCCAGCTCTGTCACCCCAGTCATAAAAACAGAACATCTTATTTTCTGCAAAGCACCATTCCTTCTGTCCAACAATTTGAAAAGAAACTTTGAGGAGGCAGATTCAAGAAAATCTTTTATATACAGACAAATATACCATATCTCCACCTCCCGGTTCTCCCAGCCCCTGGGACAGAAATAAAGCAATATATCTTTCCTTCTTTAGACACTGGAACAAATTATCATCCCTTGGAATGTTTTCACTTCAGTGTATTTTTCTTTTTCAAAGCAAGCAACAATAACCATTACCAAGCTGTAGAAAAGTTACACTGTTTTGGACGGCAGCCTTTCACATAGCGTTCCGCTGAGGACTGTTTTATTTACCTGGGACAGAGAATTGCTCCAGTTCCACTCCCTCTCTAGTACAGTTTCACTTGTTTCCTTCAGAGCCGGTCCTCAGACTTTCTTCTCTATAAATGCAGTATGTTGGCCCTGAAGATAGCTCACTATCTTTTCCTCTATTTCCATGCCTTGCGCTATTTCCTCATCAGAAAGGGATAACGGAGTCTGTGAGTCTTTGGTTACAATAACAACAGAGGTTCTCCGCGACTCCAGGATATTTGCTACCACCACCTGGTGACGGTATTTCTCCAGAGCCTGCCGTGATTTATCGATTAAGATCAAGGGATCCGTCTCCAGTTTAAAGGAAATAACAAACGCCTCCGGGGCCCATTCTTTGACAAGAGGAGACAGCATTTTTGGCACCATCTTCATTGTGATCTACATTGGGGAAAGACAGTAGAGAAGTTTCAGTAAAAACATTACAATGTGTTTTAATAAGAGATGAGGAGGGCTAGGGAAATTCCAGCTTCACTTCGTATTATATTTACACTGGGAAGTCTTCCAAGGCAGTATTCGGTCAGATCTCACCAAACAAGGCTAAAATGTCACTGGCATGCACTGTAAAACTAAATTAAATTATCGGTCTGGTATTAACAATAAGCAGAGTGTTCTTAAGTGATGAAGCAGGCGTACAGTAACTGCACAAACATTTTGTTATTTAAGAGCTAAAACCCATTCTGGGAATATAAACACAAGCAGAGGAAGATGAAAAAAAAGAGTTACAACTGCAGAAGTCTTGAGTTTTCAGCTCTCCAAACTCCAGGCAGCTTATCAAATCTTAACCCTTCTTTCTATCAACTCTTTAGGGCACGTGAAGCATAAATATGCCAAAGCATGGGGAAAAAAGTAGGACCCTCTGTTCTCCAGCTTCATAACCTCTGGGTCCGTCACTCGGAATTAGGTTGGGTCTCATCTTTCCCATGCTAACGATAAAGAATTAAGCCCAGCAACTTACTAGAAACTAATTAAACTAAGTAAGTTTGGTATTTGCTATACACAGGGCTCTAGATCCACCTGCTCCCATAGCTGAAAGGGACCTGGGCAGGAGACACGCACTAGAGCTCTGGACTGTCATCAGCGCAAGCAGGAAAAAGGCAACACAAGTACTCCGGCAGCTATTCCTGGAGGATTTCAGCTATCTGAGACCCCACCACCTACTCGTCTCCATGCTGCAAGCACAGACAGCTTTAAAGGAAAAAGCTAGAAAAATAGAAGGCAGCCTCGCAGGCAGGCTATAAACACATGCCATACCAGAAACTAAACAAGTAGTACTGCTGTCTCTCAAAGACAAAGCAGCGATGAACTCGGCTGTGCTCTCCCCTCTGCAGATAAGCCACTGCACCACTCACTTTTGGAGCTTAAGTCTGCCAGTTACCCTCTTCATCCCATTCTAAAAATAAACACAGACCAAACCAGAGCAGGACTGATCCTGCCCTGCCCTCTTATCCTTGACCCTTGGTGCAAGGGAAGGATAAAACAACGCAATTCCACTATTTCCATCAGATTCTGCCACCGTGGAAATTCACCCTCCCGTTCCCAGTGAAAATGCACGCTTTTTTGGCCAGCGAGCCACTGCTTTGCAACCTTTCCCAGGTCTTATTCACGGCGAGTCCCCAGGCAGCTGCGACCCCGGCAGGACTCTGGGACAGCCGGGACGCTGGGAGGGGAGATGGGGGTGTCAGACAGGGGCCGTGCCCAGGGCTGCCTCACCTGCAGGGGCCCCTCCGAGGACTGGATCTTGTGCTCCGGCATCTCTGAAGCAGGGATGTAAAAATCTGACACGGCAGCTGCCAGATAAAACATGACGCTGGAGCCTGCAAGAAACACAACTGCAGTCATCCACCGCCG